TATCGTAATTTTTTGTATAATTTATAGTTGTGTGTTTGCTGCAAACTCTACATTTTTATAGTTATTTTAACAATGCGAGTTATAATTAACTTAACATTGCGTTATTATCAACCTTAATATGCGTTCGTGCAATTATATCATTAGTTTCGTGCAAAACAAGATTTAACGTATGATAAATTATAAAAAAATACTACATAAAAAAAATTTTTTTTATAAATAAATAAATTTAATAATTTTAATTGTTTATTTAAATATTTATTTGATTAATTATTTATCATATACAGTTTCTCATTGTTTTTTAAATTGTGTTTATTATAACAAATTTATATTTATGCGTTACAGTATATTAAATACAACGTTGAAAGTCGATTAAAGGATGCGCCTTCGTCATTTCTGCTTATTTTCTCGATTAATTTTTATTTTGCGCCTTCGAATAAATATAAGCAAACTGTCTATTTAAAATAGAAAATAAATCTTTGTCAAGTCATCGAACAATTTAGTTTGTGTTGATTGATTTGAATTTCACTTATTCTAAATTGTTTAATCCGACAAAAGTTATTGAATAAAAATCTTTCATAAGCTCTTTGTATATATATAGTTCTGTGATAAAAATTTGACTGCGAGAAAGCTATGCTGCATACCAGTAAACAGAAAAATTATAACTTAATATATAACAGTAACGAGAGAATTTATAATTTGTCATAAGCCTTACTGTTTTTAATTTTTATTTTTAAGAAAATATAATTAAATATTACTTACAAATGTAATTATAAATAAGTATGCTTTTGTTAATTCTATGTATTAAGTATAAATGATTATTTTTGCTGTTACTCTCTATTTAATTTTCGATACAATATAATAGAAAATTCACAGTTAAAAATATAATCATTAAATTATTATTAATAAATTATGAAAATGCTTGTTTCTTTTCACTTGTCATTTTTTTAAGTTATTATTATCAATAAAGCAAATATTAAGATTTTTATTTATTATAATTATAATTAACTTGCGACTATAAAAATAATTGTTTTATATTTACTATCCGTTTATTTTATTATATTAATATTTAAAATTATTACAATTTACAAGAATATATTATGGAATTCTTATATGGCTGGCAAAATTAAATATATAAGATTATTATTATTACTAACATTACAGTAACAATAATTATAAAACTATATAGGATCTTGAACTTTATTATTATTTTTTTATAAAATTAGTCGCAAAAAATACCATGCAGTTCTTCGAAGATATATAGTGGTATAATATGTAAAAAAATCTTTTCCGCTCACGAAATAATATTTGCTATGTCAAGGTGCCGAGATATTACTCAAATTTGAATAATACATACGCGCGATTCGATGAAATTTTCGGTCGGCGCGAATGTTTATCGAAGACGAAGCGGAGCTTCTTCCGGCGGATGCGCGGCAGAAACGTGTCGTCGACGCTGGCATCCGTTGCCGGTGAGACAACAATAGTACAATCCACCTCTTCCTCGTTGCACGCGCCAATTACTCTATACGGTCGGAAGAAAGACGGAGAAACGCGATAGAGTGCACTGACATTTCAATCGGGAAATTCATTCTACGGCAGGTTCTCTCGAATATAAGTGTCAAGGACGTCGTATTTTTGGAAAGTTTTTGCCACCGAATTTAGTTTAACAATACGTAAAATTACTTATCTGTAAAATGCATAATGGTTTAAGATACTCTTTAAGATATCATTCAGGTACCGAAAATATTTTCTTTCCTTTTGGACTACTGGGTTGGCTACTGGGTTTCGAATTTATTGAATTCTTTCTTATACATACAATGTATTTTAGGAAGGTCTCAAATAGGAAAAAGGTCTGTGCATTTTTTGGCGAAGGAATCTTCAAGGAATTATTAATACTAGGTTCGAAGACCTTTATAAGCCTTAGATATTTCCGGTTAGATCGGCAAGGAATTTAAGGGATTAAAGAAGATATGACATCATATAAAATTCACTTAAATACGTATATTTTATAATTACAATTAATAAAGCGTTATAATAACTAAAAATAAAAGAAAAATGTTAATTTTAAAGTGTAAGCAAAAGACAGGGAAAAATGTTAAATAGATTGTTAAAAAATAGGAAGAAAGGAAAAGTGAAAAACAGGAAGAAAATTATCAGTATATTATACATAAGTAAAAAGTACAAAACATAAAGTGAAGAATATAAAAATTTTCTTTTTTTTATTTAAAATACAATATAAAAGTAAATTTATTTATATATAGAGCGTATCAGAAAAATGAGCACCCAAGATTAATTTAAAGGGATGATGCTTTTGAAATATAGATAATTGCTTAAAGATCACCTTCAATTTTTTTTTAATGGAACCCTCTATTTTTCATTGCATATTTTTATAGCTTATCTCGAAAGCTTTCCAAAACACTATAATAAAGTATTTTTTCTTAGGTACTTTTTGAGTTATAAGGTTTGAAGTTAACAATTTATTGATATAAAATGTAAAATATCTTGTAAAATATTCAGTTTTCGATAATCTTATCTTAATACTTTTATGCACGGAATAATGAGACCAATATCAATTGATTTAAAGAAAACACATAGTTACTTTTAAAAAAAAATACGCAGCTGTATGTTGCAAATTACATTGTTTTAAAAACAATTATCTATTTTCTTTACATTGATTGATCTCATTATTTTGTGCATAAAAATAAGAATAAAAGGAAGGAAAAAAAAATAAGATTACCGAAAAATTGAATATTTTACAAGATATTTTATGTCAATAAATTGTTAACTTCAAACCTTATAATATAATTCAACAAGTACTTACGAGAAAAATACTTTATTATAGTGTTTCGGAAAGTTCTTCAAATATATGTAATGAAAAATAGTAGGTTCTATTTAAGAAACTAGAGATAATCTTCAAACGACTATCAAAGGTCAAATCTTTTCTACTATTTTATTTCCCCTTGAAGTCATACAACTTTTATCCGAAATAAATCTTTCAAAAACATCATCCCTTCAATTTAATAGAAGTATCCATTTTTTTGGTACACCCTGCAATATATTGTTTTTTAAATTTTTAACGAAAATTGGTTCAGAAGGGTTGATCGAAATGACAAAACTTTTGTTTCCAAGAAAAATTCCTTCCTGTTAGTCCGACAAGTGATGTGCATCAATCGCATGAGATTTGTCCTTGATTGCGTGAAAGCGGAATGTTACATACGAACGAATCCTTAATATTCCATCAGTCGAAACGTCAAGGTTGCGATCGACGCGACCGATGACGGTTCTCGAGGTTCATCGACCGATCGTCGACAATACGTTGAACAGGACAGAACGGACAGGACGAAGGAATCGCGCAAGACTCCCTTTTGCTCTGCCTCTCTCTTTTTCTCGCATACATATATGTATATATCCGTCTCCCTCTCTCTCTCATCCTTCGAGCCGCACGACCGCGAGGCAGCGAAGTAAATGGTACCACGGCACCGTGAAGTGTATTATTAGCATCGTGTAAACGTGTCTGCTGGCCGTGAAACCAGTGAAAGTATTTCATGGACGAAGGCAGAGGCAGAGGCACGCACGCATACATGTTCGCTTACACGTATATATCATTATTTCGCGCAATTCTATACATATATATATATATATATGGGGTTGGGTTCTTTAGAGGGAGAGTGAGAGGGACCGCTAAGTAGGGTCGCCCAGACGTCCCTTTGTTCGCAGAAAACCAAATACCCTTATGAACCAGAACGAAAGGAATGCGGAGTACAGGAGTCAGACGGTCAGATCGGACGATTCCTCTGTTTGCAATATGAGAAAGAAAATCCTCTTGAGCCAGACTCCCTTTAAGTCCTACTGTATTCCGAGAATTTCGACCTGGTTTCCGAGAATCAGAATTTTTGTGAATCACGAAGGGAAAAAAGGAACAGTTTCCAAAATGTTACGAAATGTTTCCGAATGATGAAGGACGATCACGTAACATCTACGTGACATCAGTCACGTTTAGCGTCAAGTGTAACGCTACAGTCTTCCTTGGTGTCCGGTTTTCTTACAAAACGATATTCTTGATCAAACGAGAAAATTAATTAAATAATTTTTTTATTTTGCAATATTTTTTTATCTCTTAATTTTTGGCGCCCAAGGATCGGAAAGGAATTATATTATCGTCCGTTGATTTTATTGTATATTATATTTCAGTCAGCAAATTCGACATGGCAACAACAAGAAAGAAGGTTCTCGTGCGAAGGTTCAAAGTTGACTATTGTAAGATACATGGGAAAAGAATATCAGAGAATAATGATGTAATAAAGAAAAAAAACAATGTTACGCAACGCGACTTTTACACATTGAGGTCTGATCGCGAGTTTTTTTTTTTTTTTACGTAATCTTTCGTTTTGCGATTTACGCGTATTCTTTTTCCAATTAACATTTTTTTTCCTCGTGATTTTTAAAGTGCAATTGTGATAAACAACTTTTTTCCTTTCTGCAATAATAATTTGCCGCTGGCGATGAATTATATATAATAGAAGGTATATTTTATTGGCTCCTGTACGCAATTTCAAGGATAAATACATTTTACATTCAATATTTTTCTAATTAATGGAAAAAAATCCGTAAAGAATAAAAGGAAAAAATTGATTCTGGTTTTTATATGCGATGACATTTCTATCTTTGTTTGTACAACGACGATAAACATTGTCAAAGATCGATACAGAAGTTTTCTAGAGAGAGAGAGAGAGAGAGAGAGAAAAGGTTTGGTTAATCACCGCTGAACGATAACGAGTTTATACAAGAAGCTGATTAGCGATTCGTCGTTTTGGGTCACTTCGTGGTAACAGTTTTAATAATAATCGATTTTTCGAACAAGTTACACGTCATTCATGGAAATGTCTTACAATTCTAATATTTAAATTTAAATATAAATATTAATATTTTATTCATTAATTATAATTATCAAGGAGAGAATTAATGCAAAATTGAAATAAAAAGAAACATTAATATCTGTTTATAATAATAAACGAGGTCAGAGAATTGAGGATATATTTTCAGAATCTTTGCGCTTAATTAATATTTTACAAATTTTCTGATACGAAAAATAAAGCAATGAAAAAGAAATGTAATAAATTGGATAGAAAACTACTCAATATTCCGATGGTATCAGATGAGTATCCTCTAAAGTCCGACGTCGACATTTTCTTCGGTGAGGCATCAACTAGCTCCTAAACGTCATTCGCTGACATTCGCTAACGATGAGTCAAGACAATCATCAAGCGCAATAAGCATGATTCGCTCCTTATGGAAGCACGATCTTTCGCCTGGATGGAGGTGGTTGAACATTATGAACCGCGTCCTCGTTCCGTCAGCTTCGACCTTGAGAAGTTGATTGCAAGCTCTTTTTTGGATATCGAATGATATCCAAGATAAGAAGATAATTCTGGTTCACCTTTAACGGATGAATCAATATTTTGCCTTTTACTTAAACAATTAAATTAAGTTGGCTCTTAATTAAGTCGTTATTCTTTTTACTCGTGGAAACAAACAATTCGATTTTTACAGGAAACGAAGATATATAATTCTTTTGTAAAAATCTGTAATTCTCTTATAGGTACCAGTTGTACGTCTTTTAAAGACGGGACCTTCGACCTTGCGAAGTTGATCGCAAGCTCTTTCTTTTGGGAACAAAAAATGTGGGATTCGACAGAAAGCAAAGAAACATAATTCTTTTGTAAAAACCAGAATTGTATTTTTAGGTACCAGTTGTGCGCCATTTAAAGATGGCACCTAAAGCGCAGCACATGCATATACACATGCCTGCATACGCAGTCGAGTATTAAAGATGGGACCCAAAGCGCAACACATGCATGCATACGCAGTCGAGTATAAAGGCTGTCTTTTTGTCGATCGTAATTCGTCGGAATGGTCGACTGACGGTTTCATGCGATACGGTTTTACGGCTGGTAAAAGTCGATATGAAAGGCGGTGCGGAAGCTCGACTCTCTCTCTCTCGATCGATCGAGAGGCGAAATGAAGGCAGCCGGTGCTCTTTCCCTACACGACGCTTGTATACATTTTGTAGTCGAAATATGTCGAAATGTTCTCTTTCTCTCTTCTCCCTTTCTCTCTTCAAGTTCTCCTTTCACTAATTGTAAAGACCCGACCACTGTGAACATGTGACTGTAATTTATGAAACTTTACGTAGATATTCTTCATTCACAGAGAGAGTGTTCGCCGGATCTCTCCCGATGACAAAACTCATGGCGAAACTGCACAGAGAAGCCTTTGACCGAGAATATCAAAAGGAAATCTGTCCAAGAGCCGCGTCGAGAGTTTACCGTTATGAAAATTCGCGCGGAAAAACAAAATTAAGTAAAAGAAGCGAGACATATTCATCGCAAATCAATTAATTTGACAAATCGTGCACTTCTCGCATATTTGCATCTCACTGAAATTCATCATGTCTCTAAAATCAACTTTGTATATAATATATATAAATTGACGTCTCAACATTTTTTTGTATAGGTAATGTAATTTTTATTTATATATAAATATGAATTATATCACGGTGCTTTTTTTATACAGTCAATTTTCAAATGATGTTTCGGGAAAAAATATTTCATATGAAAATTAAGGACATAGCATTGTGACTTAGGATTGCAGGTGACATTTTTCAATGTCAGTTAGAGGTCAATATAATTTTCTTAAATGGAATCACTCTATTTTTTTTTACATATTCTGATTCCTTATAATATTCTGCATAAAAAGTTATAAGAATGGTCAAAAAGCGAATAGTTTACGTATATATAATATTGAAAGAAATTTAGGTCAGACAATTTTTGACAGATGTCAAAATCAATGAAATATACGCGTCGAAGCGAGAACCGATCAGAATCAGAGCGCGGCTCTTCGCCGACCTTTTCGCGTGAAAAGCGAAAGCGAGGCGCAATTTTATTCCATAATCGCTGTCGTGATCTTTTTAGCAACGTGGAAGCGAATGGGGAAAGGTCGCGCGATGCTAATGCGCGAGGCAGATAGGCATCGAGATCTCGTAACACTGTGTGGCGACAAAAAATTGATTTCGTAGGGCGAGATTTTATCATCCCCCACCCTCGTCTTTGTCGATTTTCGTTTTAACTCGCGAAGAAGGGAAACAAAAGGGAATAAAATGCATTTTCGGTGTCCTAGCAAAATGTCGATCTTGTAAAAAATCTCTGAGAATTCTCTAAATATTTTATATCAAAAGAGCCAAATAAAATAAGAAAATTCGCAAGAAGATGCAGCTTTTTAAAATAAGTTTCTTTATTTGTATGTGCTTTCTAATGTTTCATATTTATACGACTGCGAAGAAAGTCACCGAGAATGCTATATTTCTAGAATTTAATATTGACTGATTAATTGTAAAATTAATTCGAACGATTTATAGTGCAATAGAGCACTGAATCTAAGATATATGCAAAAATAAAAATATAAAATAAAATATAAAAGAAAATTAATTTTTATAAACGTCTTAAAAAGTAATAATTTATTTAATAAATATTATTAAAAAATTAAACTATTTTCTATGAAACTTATATAAGCTTAACTCTCTGCCTCTCTCTTTTGATTGAGGGACGAAATGAAAGCAGCCAGTTTTCTCTCCTTCTGCCTGTACGATTTTAATACTAAAAAGAGATCGATAAAAAAAGGTGAGACATTTTAATAAAAACTTGAATAATATTGCAAAAATATATTAGATATGTTTTTTAATCGGATTTATATATATAAAAGGGATAAAATAAGACAGAAACAAAATATCTCAAATTTTTTCTAGATATTAAATGAAATAAAATATAAATAAAATACATCTCAATAGATATTAATTAAATAAAATATATTAATTACAATAAGATGTTTTTATTAAGTAATTAGATATAAAATTCCGTTTACTATGATTTCCATGAATAATATAATGCAACATATGCCGATATAACATGACGAGTCGGGTTTATACGAATTCCAGGTTTATTCGAGTTCATTCAGTGAAAATGCCATGGTTTTTTTCAAACAATCCCTCTTTCGATATATGAAACCGTGCACCGGCTGCGTTTGAAACGTTAAAATTCGCGTGCCATTCATGTTCTTTCACGTAATTCACATGTGTTTCGGACGGAGCGACTTTCTTCAAAAGCTTTATTCGCGAATTCGTCCGTGCTCGGTTGAAAAATTCATGGTTCTTCGCTCTTTCGACATGTAGTGTAAAAGCGTTAGAAACAAAAACCACATGCAATTCCTCGCATGGATTGCCCCAAATGCACGGGAAAGGTGGATGGGGGATGAGGGGAATATTTTCAGATTTCAACGTCTCGCTTTCGCAAACGTCAGTTCTTTCGAATTTTTTTTTTTTTTTTGTTTGTTCCGAACTAACGTTACTAACGCGCAAATCGTCCCGATTGCGTAAATCACTCGCTGATAATACGCGAGCGGAAGATAAATCGCGGGAATCGTTTTTTGCGCACTGTCTTTTACAATTTTTTTTTACTACAGCCGGGCCCGATAACAGGCCGTCTGTGACACAACCGCTTGTGTATCGCAGTAAAATATTGCTTAAGGCTGATAGTGCACTATTGAAAAAAAAAAAAAGAAAAAACTGGCCTAGTGACGAAACATTATTCTGATAAGCTACGCGAGTGACAAGAGTCGCACATTGGTTTTTGAGAGGATTTTTTTCCTCTTCGAAAAAAATGTCCACTCTCTACAGAGATTTATTTTGTTCGGCCTAGAAAGATTATCGCTGGATAAGTTGTTGTGACTTGCATCGTATCTTAGATCGGAATTCTCATTGATCTTTGATGACTTCCTTCATCTCCGGACTACAGTCAATATTTGAATCTGATAGTATTTATCAGGAAGAACTAATATTTAAGTAAATAATGGCGGCTTCATTGATCTGCAACCGCGTTACGTCTAACAATTTATTTCTTAATCACGAGATTCCGGTTCTTGACTTGAACAAGATTAATTCTGTATTTAAAGGTTGGGATTTAAGATAACCCTATGCTCTATTCGGTATTTATGTCTGACTTGATTGGGGACCACTTTGGAACGATCACTATAGCTTTGTCTTTAATTAGTATTTGATGGTTCCATATCTCGCTTGTTTCATACGTTTAAATGTCATTCCAGGGTTTGATTACATATTGACAAATTATCGAGACTTTTTGCACAGCCTGTATATTTAGATAAATATACAAGTCGTAACAAAGTTCCTTCCTTACTTAGGCCTATTTAGCAGAAAATAGAGTCTCGTTTGTTATCGGAATTAATCATAGACAGTGTTGGGTAATATCTAGACACATGTATATAGATACAGTACCTAGATACATTTTGTATATCTGAGATATATTCGAATTGAAGTATCTAAATCTGTATCTAGATACAAAACATGGTATTCGAATTGCTTTTTTCAGATACATTTGCAGATACATTTTCACATATTTTTTTGAATAGCCCAATTCTTTAAATTATTAAAAAATCGAAACTGCAAGTTATCAACTTAACGTCATCAACACCGGTTGAGCTATTATTAAGCATTGGTCAAATTTTTTAGTACGATGACGAAATAGTTTGAGTGACGATATCTTTGAGGCATTTTTCACGTGTTAAGACTAACAAATAAAGTCGTAATATAAACAAAAATATTAATAAGGATAAAAGAATTATTCAGTACATTTTGTGCATATTACCATTATTATGCTAAAATATAGTTTAAAAGTATCTGATATGTATCTGAGATACTTTTAAAGTATCTGAGTATCTGTATCTACCAGGTGCATCAGTCTTTTCTGGTTTTTTGGTAAAAAAAAACACGTAATTTTCAAGGAAAATTAATTTTTTTATTCAAAATATTGGCCATCGGCTTCTATACATTTCGCCCATCTTTCAGGAAATTTATAAATACCATGCTAGAAAAACTGCTTGTCTTTTGCGGCAAACCATTTGTCGAGCCATTTTTTAACTTCCTCGAAATTGCTGAAGTGCTGCTCTGCGAGCGCGTGCCCCATTGATGTGAAGAGGTGATAGTCAGATGGTACCAGGTCTGGGGAGTACGGCGGGTGTGGAAGGATGTCCCATCCAAGCGATTTCAAGGTGTCTTTCACTGGTTTTGCTGTGTGAGACGGCGCATTGTCGTGTAACAAAATCACTTTGCCATGTCTTCTGGCCCATTCCGGTCGTCTTTCGATCTTTCCCATTGCTCGTAAACGTCTGCTGATTGTTTCTTGTGATACATGTAATGCTTCTGCTAATTGCCGTTGAGTTTGAGTTGAGTCATCATCCAATAACTCCTGCAATCGCTCGTTTTCGCATTTTTGTGGTCCACCAGAGCGCTCACTGTCTTTCACATTGAAATCACCACTTTTAAATTGTCAAAACCATGTCTCACATGTTCTAATCGATGGAGCGTGTTCA